TGGGATCCAAGGTGAGTACATCCAGTCTTGACTACCCATTGTGGGAAAGGATTTAAAACAGTAGAGCAGAAATTTGATTAAAATAAGAGGATCTTAAGGGGGAATGAACTTACATGGTTCAAAGCCCTGAAGAAGCAGTTTGAGTTAACACAGCCTTGTGAGATGTTACCCAGACATTTACAAATTTTTTTCCAGTGGTTCTGTCTTCTGATCAGCTTTACTGAATATCAAACACAGCAGTGAATTTGTATCATCTCATCTCAATATTAAAAAAAAAAACCCACAAAAGTACATTATAACACTTTGGTAAAGAAATAGATTCTATTGTACTCTGCAGTACTTTGGAGTGTTACTATTTGCATATCATAGTTAATTATCAAGCACCATATCATCCTAGGGGAAAGGGCCACTGGCAACTTAATTCATTATCTTCTATTATTGTGTCTCACATTAAAATGACAAGCATCTTATGCTGCATAAGTCAACAAAATTTTAATTAATATATCCAAACCTGCTAACCAGCAGATACAAGCATATCTGTGGGTTTTTTCCATTCTGAAACCTCCTCAATTTTTTTATGTAGGCACCTCTTCAAAGTTTTTTCCAGGTTTATTTGCTTAGAAATGTAACAGAAGCACTGTTTTTAACTAAAGAATTATATTAAAAGCTCAAAATTAGTTTAATAACCACTGCAGTTTCCAGTGAAACCCGTATCTCAGGAAACAGTGGAAAGGCTGCAATAGTAAATGAGCTTGTTTGCTATATAGTGAATGCATGCTTCTGAGATGAGACTCATCCACCCACTGAGCATCCACTCGAGCAGGGCCAGGGCTCAGAGACCCAGGGCAGGTCAGTGTGGGCCAGCCCAGGCTTTCAGTGCCAAGGAGGGGATGCTGGGGGAGCAGCCCCCCAGCAGCCAGAGGTGCTGGCCAGGGTTGCACCCCATAGAGCAGGAGGACCAGTTTGCTGCACCTGGGCACCCACTGCCCCTGCCTTCGGACCCCAGGCTCACAGTAGTCTAATTTACTAAATCCAATACAAAATCAATCTTTTATTAACTTGGGACTGCCTTAGTCTGCTAGGTTGTACTGAATAAAGCTACAGCAGGACTTTATTCCTTACTTGTCTGATTCCTCTCTGGTTGAAAGGAATGGCATTCAGGGATAGTCAGCACCTGGCAACGCCATCAACAAGTAAAATCACTCTAATCATATTCCGGAGGCAATTTCAAGCTTGCTGAAGGACTGAAATGGATGGTGCGGTTCCACACAATATTTACCCCGATAACACAGTCATATTCTAGACATCAAACACTCCTTAATTTTAGAAGAAAAAGGGAACTTAATTCCACCATTAAGTGTTAGACTGTTTTGTGAGCATAGAGAAGAGGTGATACCAGAAGCCACCACCTGATTCCACCAGAAAAATTATTATCTGAGCCCAGCAATTTGTCTTCAAAAATATTTAATTACCATGAAACACCATTTGTAAAACAAAAAATCACAGGTGCTCCCTCTATTTTTGGCCTTAAGCCACAGCATGTATTTAGCCCAGGGTACAGGAGGAATTCACACTTCTGTTTGTGCAGCCATAACTTCAGCCCATTGTTGTACTTCCAAATTAGGTTACGTGGAAGCTCTGACAAAGCTGCTGTTTTCAAAAATACCAGACAACATTCTCAACATCAAAGTCAATGTGAAACGTAGTAGTATTAATTGGAATGCAAGAATATTTTAGTCATGGATTTGATTTTACTAAATGAAATCAATATACAATACGAAGTAAAATGTACAATATAAAGTAAATGCTAAGACTTCATTATGTAATTAAGCATTTTGCACAAAATCCAAGCTGGTTTAATCTTTGTCTTTTAAAAGTGCTTGTAATCATGTTGGAAGGTAAAAGAATTAATACACACTTTAGTATCAATTTCTGCAAAAAGGACCAAGCAAGCAGAACACTGTAGTCTTTAATGTGACCACTTTTTCAGAATAGACATTAACTGAGGCTTTTTCATGCACAGTTGCTTTTGTATAAACTGATTGACACCTTTGGGGGTCGTCTTTCCACTGACTCATAATTTTGCTCACTCTTGAAAAAAGCCTTCTGCACACCTACTATTCTCTAGTTAAAGCTGAAAATTCAACTCATCATATTTACACAATTAAAAAAAAATCCATTCTGCTTTGTTTTTAATTGCAAATCCTACTCAAGGGACCAATTCTCCTGCTTAGGAGGCAGCCCTGTGCCTTCTACTAGAGAACCAACTGCAGTCAATTATGGTAATGAAATGTCAATAAATATAAAAATTTAATACAGCCTGTTCCTGGTGAGTGGCAGATGAGGACTTGCCTCCCAGACAAATTTGCTGGTGCTGCAAATATTAAATGCACCTGAAAGAGGAGCAGGTTGCCTGAGAGCTCTCCAGTAGAGGGATGCTGGGAGATCCAGGCATCTACTGGGTTTTTCCATTATGGCATAATCGCTGCACTAAGGCCACTGATATTCTTGACATTCAGACATCTTAACTTCTTATGAAGTGAGTAGCATATTTTCCCCACAAATTGGAAGCTCAGTAAGGGATTTGGAGCTTCCCCCCCCATCACCTTAACAATTACAAAAGAGATATTAAGTTATGAAATTTAATATTTATATGTGACCAGTTTCTCAATACAAAGTAGTTGAACCATGTCAATACATTAAACTGATCTTTGAGTAAAAATTATTTGAGGCATGTTACTTTATTTTTTCTTATTATTTACATATATACATTAAAAATATGTAGAAATACATCTATAGGAAGAGTGATAAATAAAGAGATGAACTAGCAAGTAGTTTTTGAAAGATGGATACGCTGGGGTTTCCAAAGATCAGATGATAGTTTTGCCACAGATTTCTTTGGCCCTGAGTAAGCAATTTAATGTCACTACCTCAAGTTTCCCCAGGTGTAAAAGACAGCAATAACCTACCTTACAGGATTCTTCAGCATAATCCATTGATTTAACTGAAGCATGAACTCAACTCTAACTGCTCCAATACTGCAAAGTGTTGTTATTCTTAATCTCCATTCAAAAAGTGTAACCTCATTTTCTTGTGCAGTTACCTCCAATCAGTTTATAGGGCGTAATCAGAGTACACATAAATGAAATCTCTTATTAAAAGTCAGTAACTTATTGATTATATTAAGGTCATTACCAGGAAAAGTTAATTTTATTTTCTTTTAGTCATCTTTCTATCTTTCCTTGCTGCAATTTTGTCAGGTAGAAGTATTCCAAGTTTTACTGCTGTTAATACTTGAGTAAAATCAATTCAGTAGTTTTAAAATAAAATAATTTTTTAAAAATAAAAAAATCAAAATACATGTTACTTTAAAAAAAAAAAAAAAAAGCAAAAAAAAAACCCACCAGATTTTAAGGGATCAGAACCTGGAAAAACAAAATTTTGCAGTATTGGTTTGTTTGTTGTGGTGATACTGCTCCATTCTTTATTAACTACTTTATTATGGGAAATCTTAGAGGTGGGCTGAGAGCACTGATTCCATTAAGAAAATGACTGACCCAAAGCAAACACTCACCATTGTGCTTAGTCGTAATTTACAGCCAGACTTCACTTAGATGAAGTATGATTAGCAACTTCCCTGTTGTTCTGGAGGCTCCTACAAGAGAAAGGTGATGGTAACACTAGAGCCTTTTGAAAACGTGCCACTGACCCATTGAGGTCTCAACCAGCTGGCCAGGAGTGGTTCCGTGGGGAGCAAGCAGCACAGCAGGCCATGTCACGGGACAGGGGCACTGGCGGGGATGTGGAGCACTCTGATGAGAAGTGGGCTGAGCACTGAAGCTGAAGCTGCTGCTCAGGTCACCCCAGTTGTGATACAGCAGTTACACCCTGCTCCACACCAAGCCATTGCCCTGTCCTGGAGCCATCCCAGCCCCTCTCTTCATTTTCCCACCACAGCATTCCCGCAGGCTGTACCCTTCCCCACCGGTCGCCATCTCGTGACAAAGCCGGCACACCTTCACAGTGGCAGGGGCTGGGGCAGCCTCCTGCACAGAAACATCCCTGCAACGGGACTGGCATCAGCCAGAACCGTGTCAGCATGCTGGGCTTGGGGAGGCTGCCCAAGGTTCAAGGATCACCCAAGGATGAGCCAGCAATGGCAGGCCTTGAGTATCCTGTGCTTGTGAATTTTCCCTTTTGGAAGAAGTGTATTAACTCCAGCTTTCTGTTGGATCTCTGCATACAAGGAAAGCTCCCAGGCAGGTGGCTGCCCCGAGAACAAGGGACAGCACAGCAGAGGCCAGAGCAGCACCGCTTGTGTCCCCAGCCCAGGGGAAGGAGCTCTGTGCACTCGGTCACTGCTGGGCTGTCACACACCTGCCACCCCTCCTTCCCCTGCAGGGCAGCACTTGCCAGAACAAGTGAGTTCCAATCAACTCCAACAAATACAGGGATTTTGTGTAGCTGAGGAGAACAGCAACCACCCACACAATACCTCTGTTTCCTGTGGGAATACACCGACATTTCTGGGCCTGAATAGATGTTTCTGGCCAAGTTCTGGACACAGGACTGTTTCCCATGAATATCACTGTGTCCCTCTGGAGCAATACAGCCAGGGTAGGCACAAAGCTCACTCCAGCAGTTGCTCTCTGCAGGATCATACTATTACAATAAGAACAGGAGACACCAAATGAACAAAACTGAGATGTGAACAGCTACCAGTGTCATAGGCAGCTATTTAAAGCTTCTAGAAAAAGCTAATGCAGACAAAGTAGCACTCACAGTGATGTCACGTACCATTAAGATATATGGCTTAATGTTATTTTCAATATATACCATTGGGTTAAAATTGGTTTATACATAAAATAATCTTGACTTGGTAACATAATTAAATTAAGAGTGATTTCTATATCCAGGAGTATCCTGGTTGCATATTATTGCTTGAAACATCCTAAAGTGTGGGCACGACAACCCGACAGGAACACAATTCTCTTTTACAGGTGGATTATTCTGTAATAGCATCCCAAGCTGGAGCCACCCTCAACAATCTTATGAGCCATGCACAAGAACTGGTAGCAAAGCTTCGTTCGCTGCAGTTTGACCTACGAGAATTTGTCTGTCTCAAATTCCTGGTGCTGTTTAGTTTAGGTAGGTACACTCTAATCTTCATACTTATGGTCTTTTTCTAAAAAACATTGAAAATATTTTGCTTTTCTTCAATTTTTTGTGAAACACGTGATTTTGAAATATGTTTAATATGATTCACAATAATCTGAGGATAATTTTTTAATTATGTATAACAGGGAAATTATGTATAAGGATTAAAAGTGTGTTTCCATGGAAATTACTCCTAAAACCCACAGAATTTTGTGGAGTATTATAAAGCTTCTGTATTTTGGTATGCGAAGGATAAAATTCTATTAGATAATTTTGTGGAGTATTATAAAGCTTCTGTATTTTGGTATGCGAATACTGAATTTTCCAAAACAAGGATAAAATTCTATTAGACATCCTAGAGAACAGTGGAAAATACAGATTGCCATGTTCTTCTATGATATTGAATACAGTTATGTAAAGCACATGGAGTGGGGATATGGTTGAATTTTCCCTCTTATTCAAGGGCGCATGTGGTAAGTATAAACAATCTTCTTTGCATATGATGGCTGTCACACTGTGATCCATAAATCAGGAATGTATCTCATAGTTTTTTAGAAGTGAAAGGAACTCCTAAACTGCAAATTAATGATAATAGCTTTAGGACAGATCTGGCTAGGAAATAACCTTTAAAGGGAAGATTGTTTTGTACTAGTGGAGAGGACAGAATGGGAAAGATACCTATGCAAGACAAATTAGTTAAACCAGTGCCCTCCAATAAATCAGTTGAGAAAAATCACTGGTGCCAAGAATAAAAAAGATCTTAGGGAGATGGATTCCTATTGACTTCATGGGAAGACATTTTTCTGCCTGTCCTCTGCCTCAGGTTTGCACTTTGTTGTAAAGCTGATCAAAATGAACTTTGCCCAAGCGAGTGACTTTTTTCTGGCAGAGAGTTGAAAGGAGAAACTTAAAAACATAAATAAGGTCAGGCCCAGCCATGCCTCCATAGCAAAACCTCCTGTTTTACTGAAAAGGTGTTTTTGTCTACAAAGAGAGTAGCTGAGCCAAGGACACAATGAAAGATAAGAGCAGTGGTGACATTTAGTAATGCTTTTCTTTTGTTTTCAGTTTTTAAAAAAATCTTTAAGTTAATCAAATTCTTAAAATAAATTTTTGTGATACAATTGCAAGTAGACTAAAAGAGACACTTTTGATCACACTGTAGATCTCAATTACAATCTTAAATATGTCCCTCCTAGGTGTTACAGAATTTGAACCTGCTTGAGAAAATTTTAGATAAAGTTCCCTTTAAATGTAGGGAAGATAAAAGACCAATACTGCAGAGGTACAGGGGACAGAACATGCAGAAGATAGAAAAGATTTTACAAATTATAATGAAATTAGAATGTTGCTAACAGAGTGGATCATTCTGAGGTATGTCCATTTTGAATCCTAGGAAGAGATGATGGATTTCCTTGGTAACTATTAACATTTTGTATTCAGGGCTTCATTGCTTGAATATCTTAGATTCAGAGAAGTGAAAACAAACCATCTGTTGCAGAAATTATGTTTTATGAATTAATCTGATGAATTCATATTCACCAGAATTCATATTTCCTAATTCCTCATAAGTAGGTTTTTCAGTCATTATACAGTGGCACAAATAAAGCCTGTAGCTTTCTTCTTATAAAATATTTAGAGAATTCATGTCAGTTCAGAAACATTTTAAATTAGCTGAATAAATGAAGTGCATTTGGAAAATTCTCACATTTAGGAGTGTTTTTATTTAATGACTTTCATCAGCTCTTCTGGTACTTTCACTGATTTAGGAACCATTCTCACACCTCTAGCTCTTCTATTTCTGCCAGGTTGGGTGCTCATCTTCTGAAGCACTCGGGCAGGAATAACCTGCAAACTCATACCAAGCCAGATTAGCCAGTTTTTCTCTCACTTATGCTACTATAAAACAAGCTAATTTTTCTGCAAGTAGGAATCTTGTATTCACACCACTTGCATGTAAAAGTGATGTAGCTAAGACAGGTCTGACACCTTTGAAATCAATTACTTCATTACTCAGCATACTGCAGAATTCCATTTGCTAATAGCAACAGCTAGATGTTATTCTGCAAAGAGTAAAATGTAAAGATGTTACCACTTGACCCACAGGACAGAGGCAAATACTTAACTAGAATGATGACAAGATTGAAATGAAAAACACAGATACCCTTTCCAGCTTAGCATTTAAGTTTCTGCCCGAAAGAACAAATTAATCATGTAGCTGAAATTAAAAAGACACCTCACAGCCTAAGAGCAAGTCAGGTTTAGAAGACATTGAAGTGTCTAACAATGCTGGTAGTCATTCAGCAGGGCTGTCAGAAGTAGTTAAGCATCAAATTCTACATAAATAACTGGGAGGAATCATTGTACCTAAATATCTAGGTGCATTTAGCACATAACTACATCTTTTAGGCATCTCTACAGAAAACTAGTACTAATGCCAATAATGTATCACTTAATAAAAAAAATATTTCAAAAACGTCAGCTGTTGACAATCTGGTCCTGTAATGTTTAATGCTTCAAGACATAGCCTTTTTACATTTCTGAGAATGTTCATATGAGTGTTAACCAAGCCAATGAAACCTTTTACTATTGTTCTTCAGTCCAGTGCTTGACTGAAAAAAAAAATGTTTACTATAAAGCTTCTCAAAGGCAATATGAAGTCAACAATCCACAGAATGAATTTATTGAGAAGAAGTAGTTTGGTTTTTTATAACTGTATAGATATGAGACTGCCTTATAAAGCTGTTTGTTATTCATGGCTGTACCATCCTGTCTGTCTACCCAAAAGACAGCTATCTCCTTTAGGGCAAAGAATTTGGTCTCTGCCCTTTTTCTTAACTTTTCAGAAGTGATTATGTTAGTAAACTATTATGTTAGTAAACTAGTAAACTCAAAGTACTTAGAATAATTTTTCAAAATAGAATTAAACTATATCAGTTTTGCTTGCAAGATTTTAAATTAAGGAGGTTTGTTATCTACTCGTAAGGATTTGCAAAGGGTTTATACAGGAAAATCCTTTTGATTTTTGACAGCATTAAAGAAGATGCTGCTGAGGCTTAGCCAGACGCATACTAAGTGTAGCTGTTGTGGCTGGCAGCACATAGCTCCTCCTGCAGTCACACTGCACGGCCCCACCCCGATGATTGCAGCCCCAGGCACAGGAGCTCCAGTCCTTCCTCCAGGGCCACCTGCTCTGCCTGGGATCCTCTGACCAATACAGCCAACTACAGAATGGTACAGCTGAATCAGCAATTATTCAATAAGCCAGAACAGTTTGGTAAATTATCTCTTAAGTGTGATGTCTCCAGTTCAGTGCTATAGAATAGTTAAATATGTACAACTACATAATTTTTAAATTCCCTCTCTCAGTTGTAAAAAGCAAATGTCTTTACAGGTAGCTAGTTCTTACCTCTCTGTACATAAAAGTCTTTCACTGCTGTTCCCTTGCCAGCCCTTCTTCAACTGATGTTTACATTGTATTTGCAAACCCCAAAGAAAGTCTGTTTTCTGGGGCATTGTTTCTGTGATTTCACATATAGAGATATTCTCCCCTTAATTCCACCTTAGGGAGGGAAGTAATCAATATGTCAAACCACAATTTAACTCAGGTATGTCCGCCAATTTTTTCTGCAATCTAAAGATAGGTGGATAACAAAAAAAAACCCAGCAGCTCAAGAGATATGCAAGTATGGATTTCTCAACTTCTTAGTTGCATTTGACAGGTTTCCTCCAGTGCAGCAACTGTAGTCACACTATAGATGGGAAGTTAGTGGCCAGACAAAAAGCTGGAAAAAATTAAGAAATCTTTGACGACTTAAGTGTTAAACCTACTTTTAAGAGTACTTGATGAGCTTGTGTCCAACACATGGAATGTGAATATCTGAGAAATATGCGGATCACATAGTTCTGTAACTGTTTACCACCAAATGCAATAAACATTTCTAGCTTTCTGAAAGTTGGCTAAATTGAGGGTAACATGAATTCTTTGCCCTAATCCCAGAGTAAAAATATACCTAATTTTTCTATAGCATATAACCAGTACAGCCCACTGTACACATTATCAAAAAGTAGACCAAAAACTAAATACAAATTATTTGTCTTTAATAACTGCTGGCTTGAATCAAGAAACATTACGGATAGAAAAAGCAAATGTGTCAGTTAATCAAGCTCTTTGAATTTTCATTACCAATTTGACATTAGCTGGGAAACGCCTTTCTTTCCTTGTCATAAATCACAATTTAAAAGAAGAAAACAAATAAACAAAAGCAAACAAATCACCCCACATGTGCTGTTGAATTGTCTAATTCTGGGGCTGAAATAGATTCATATGCTCCACTGGGAGATGCAATTTTGACCGCGCTGAAGCCAAGAGAATTTCACTCCTTTTTATTGGAGTCAAAATTTGCTTCCCGATCACAAAACAAAATTCAAAATAAATTTTCATCAATTAAATTTGAAAAATTACTAAATTTAAATGATGATTGAAGAACCAAATGAGTGCCTTAAATGGTATATTTTCTGTCACTTTCACTTTATCATCCAGTAGCTTTACAGGCTGGTCATTTAACCTGAAATCAGTCATTGTTTTCTCTTTACAAAAGCTTCCTATTTGTCCTGCTAGTTTTTATTATGTGAACTCAGCAAGAATGATTTTTCGAACTCCCATCAGAGCAGTCTGTAAAGTGAAATACCAGTAAGAAAAAGTTAGACATAGTTTGACCCATGTCCAGGCACTTGTTGGCTGTGGAGCTAAATGCTGGGCTAGGCAGCAGCTGCCTGGTACTGCTCCCTTATCACTGTCAGGACAAAGACAAATGTACTTCATTTGAGAAATGAATGCTTTATCAATGGACAAATAATTGCAGAGCCACTATTGATCTCACATCCCACTTAACATGAAGCAAAAGGGTCCAGTAAAAATAATAAACATTTAATTGTGGTGGACATCAAACAATGGGTTCTTGCTCAAGCAACAGGGAAAAAACCTAGTA